AAGCACGTGACACGGGAGGATGGAGCACCCACGACAAGCACGTGACACGGGAGGATGGAGCACCCACAAGCACCTGACACGGGAGGATGGAGCACCCACGACAAGCACGTGATACGGGAGGATGGCACACCCACAAGCACCTGACACGGGAGGATGGAGCACCCATGACAAGCATGTGACACGGGAGGATGGAGCACCTGACAAGCATGTGACATGGAAGGATGGCGCGCCCACAACAAGCATGTGACACGGGAGGATGGCGCACCCACGACAAGCATGTGACACGGGAGGATGGAGCACCTGACAAGCATGTGACATGGAAGGATGGCGCGCCCACAACAAGCACGTGATCATCAACAGCCAACAACTGAACATGAAGAGAGATGGTGCAGTTACGGGCGACTCTTCCAGTGCAAAAACGTTTTGCCGTGACAAAATTTCAATTAAGTAACTAAATGGTTCAAAATAGCTTATTTTTTTTAAAAAGGTGCCTTTAAAAGGTCAGAGACTAAAGGTACTAGAAGCATACAACCGGGAAACAAAACCACCACTTACAAACCAGTCTTATATGTTGGCGTGGAGCTACATTAATTAGGGCCTATATTATACGTACACTCAATCATCTACAACAGACGTATTATTGCTCGTCTACGCAGAAGAAACATTAGGCTGCTTACTTCACCTCCTAAAGTGTTTCCTCAAATGTCGCCTTCTCAATGAGGCCTTCCCTGGTCAACCTCTCTAAAAGTGCAAATGCACGCCCTCCTGAATTCCTTACCCATCTTCCCTGCCTTAACATTCTGCATGGCACATGTCACCCCGACTACACTAATCACTTACTTATTTCTATCTCCCCCACTAAAACATAAGTTCTACAGGGCAGGGCTTTTTCCTGCTTCACTGTCTTCTGAAACCCCAGCACCCAGCAGAGGACCTAGCACAGAGTAAATACTACCAAATATTTGCTGGATAACGAATGAATGATGAATGACTGAATGAATGAACAGCCGAATGCACTGGTGAGTTTCTGCGAGGCGGTTCTGGAAGTCTGTTCCACTCACAGCCTTTCCACGCCTCCATCCCCGAGTTACTGAGCACACATAGACACACACGGCATAGGGGTGATCAGGAAAGGTGGAATGCGCAAGACCGTGGCGGGAAGCTAGGGGTGGAGGTAAGAGAGAACACCTGCCCCGAGAAAGACAACGCCCGTCTTTAAGACACACACGCAGTGCAGTTATCGTCCTTGTTCACTTACTGTAGAGTGTGAGGACACAGGGGCCTACGGCTCTGAACACAGGAGAGACGGGTACAGCTGAGCCACACAGAGAACTGAGCCTGAGCTGCAGCGTGTCCCCCGGGACGTCTTGAGTTCTGATGCTACACGGGGAAGGAGGCGCAAAGCCAATCAGGAAACCTCTGAAGAGCAAAGCGAAGATTTCAGCAGCCCCAAAGTACCGAGGAGACAGGAGTGGAGTTCAGGTCCCACCAGGGAGAGGGGACTGGTAAACACCCCAAACTCACGTGGAATACCAGTAAGGCTGGGTCCTAGGAGGAAAAGCAGACCTGCAAGACTGAACCAGAACTGGACCTCTGCCTCGTCTCAGAGATGATCACCCACCCCCCACCACACACACGCACGCACGCACGCGCACGCGCACACACACACACTGTCTCCTTATTAGAAGAAAGAGTGAGTCCTCTGGACAGACATAACAGCACCTGAATCCTTTTGTAGCCGGCATACATAACGTCTGATATTCTATGGCATGAGAGATACAACCAAACAACCACAACTAGAGAAAATATCAAACATATCTAAAGTTGATCCAGATATTGGAATTAATTATTTAAAGTCCTTATAAGCTATGATTAACACGTTCAAGAAATGGAGAAAAAGATGGCAAATATAGATTTCTTTCTTATTGAGAATTCCACCAAAAGAATCATGATTCTTTTATTCTTTCAATAATGATTCAAAAGAATCATTATTCTTTCATTTATTCTAAAAAGGAATAAAACAGAAACTCTACAATAGAAAAATATAACAACTGAAATTAAGGACTCAGTAGATGGGGTTTAGCAGATCAGGCACAGGAACTCTAGTGAGCTGGAAAATAGTCACCAGAAAATACCCAAGATCTAAGAGTTTGGTGTAAATTACAGTACAGTGTTAGGGAAAAGCATCATTGATCTATATGCATGATAATTAAAATAATAACAATAGCCTACAACGTGCTCGCAACTACCCTGGGCACATTACATTTAATCCCTACAGAATCTGTGACGTAGGTACCAATTAACATCTCCCCTTCACACACAACAAAACTGAGACACAGGGTTTAGATAATTTTACAAGCTACTGAGTGGATAGGCCAGAATTTGAACTCAGGCATTTGGCTCCAGAGTTCATGTAATCAGTAAACTATACTGCAGTAATTAATAACATGGAAGTTTGGTGAGGTATTTATATTTCTTACTCTGATTTTGAATTAAATCCTTCTCAACATATTTAGATTAAGCAGTAATTAGTGACTACTTTAATGTAAAGATTATTTTGTAAATAATTTTAAATTAACTACAAGCCATGCCGTGCTGCTTTCACACTGCACGTGAGGAAGCTCGGTCAGGTGGCCCACACAGACACAGCACGAAAGTGACTCTAAACGCAGGCTGGCTTAGAAGGAAAGAAACACTCTCCAGTGTCAGCCCTGAAAATTCAAACCCATAAAATTACAGCACATATTACATAAAATTATGGAAGAGAAGTATTCACCACAAATACTCAAAGCAGAAAATAGTAGCACTCTCTAAAGAGATAACCTCTCAGCAAACCCACGTGGGACAGAGAAGACTCAATTTGAACACCGCCCTCGACAGCAGAGTTCAGGCTGAGCTCGGCTCTCAGACCCCGAGACGGATTGTCGACAGCGCAACTTCTGAAACTCCTCTGACAAGAAAACCTTTCCTTTCTCATCATTTGCTGAGAAAGCCACCTAGAAGGTTTCTCTAAGCTTCAATTACCCTGGCTTTTGATTACCAAAACAGGAACCATAAAATTAATTTGTGGTGAGAGGACACTAAAATGTTGGGAAAAACTGTAAAAGTTACCTTCTGGCATTTTGCCGTGAGAAATAAAGCTCTCACTATAAAATTTTTTAAATTCAGGAGAAAATCTTGCCTGTACTCGGAAGATAAACCACTTTTCTGTCCTCAAACATCTGGACCTGAAGGATTTTTTCAAGTCTATACTTATGGTCTTGATTTTCAGGAACCCTATTAACCGGCCTTCTTGAGGAACCGGAAAGGCTGAGGCATGCTGTGCACAAGCTTACTCCCTGTACCACCCCGAAGGTGGGCAAAGCAGCCCATCCCGAGTTCCTGGCTTCTGGAGGTGGCATGGGGGACCAGGTTCTCCCCAGGCACATCTGACCATCACCTTCCACAATAGCGAGAACTCATCACATTTCCAGGAAACATCCAAGACTAAATTCTGGAAACAGGTCACAGTGCTAATTTTGTTCTTTGACAAGAACTTAGAGAAAGTTCTTCAAATAATAAAAAACTGGTAACATTTTTAAAAATACTGCTTACCTTTGAATATTTCTGTAACTCAGCATCATCTGCAATCTGTGTGTCCAAGGTAGCAACCTAAATTTGCAAGAAAAAAATACTTTCAATATTTGTAAAAGCATAACTTTATTTCTTCCTAGATTTTTCTTCTGGAAAAAAATCTGTAAAAGCTATATATTGATAACTCCACCTGACCTGCGTTCTAACCTCTTTTCTATATTTCTAAAATCCATAATATAACACATGTAAAATTTCAGAGAATATTTGCTTTTTTGTTGTTATTGTTCTCCACAGCAATCTTTTTTTCTTAAATTATTCAAAAGTTGAACCAGAAGGTGATGGGCAAGTACATATATTATTTGTAAAAATCCACCATCCCTAAAATTTTAATATAATTCTCCATTATACTGAATTCATAAAAATTTCATTCTTTTGACAAAGCCAAGAGTATGGTCATTTTTATTTTTAAATTCAGACCTTAAAACAAAGTTTGCGAGGTCAGTGAAGTCAGACGGGTTTGGAAAAACTGAAGCACCTGACTTCCACAGCAAGCCCAAACCATTTCCCGAGGAGCAGCAGCTGGCGAGGACACAGACAGGAAGACCTGGACGGGGGAAGCTCACGGACACTTAGAGCTTTGAATCCTGGCCTGAAACTCGTGTTCTGAGCTTCAATGGTGGATGTCCACATAAGTGAATCCCTTGCAAGTGAAATACTTTACTGATGACCTGCATCTGTAAGCTGTTAAGAAAATGGGGCACATCTGGAGGGAGGGATGAGTTCAACAATGACCCAACTAAAGTTTTTAAAAGTACTGCACTGCAGATAAGTAGGTTCTGGAAGAAAATAAAACAAGAAACACTGGAGACATGCACACATTCATCTCGCCTTGCTTCTCCTTTCTGGTCCTCCTTCCGCAGAACAAGTTACAACTCCAGTGACTAAGCTGTCACTTTAAATTTCCAACTTTAAATTCTGTCCCCTCTGCCTAGCCTCTCTGTTATGACCTCAAGACGTGATCAATGAAATTTGGAAGGGTAGTTATAAGGAAGATAAAATTTTAACAAAAACAGCCCATCACGAAACTGGCCATTTATAAACACTGGTTCACTAAATTACTTTGACTATCAAACCACTACGGATAGCAGAAAAGGCCATCCACCAGGTGACAGACAATTCTCTAAGGTCACAGCCTAGTAACAAAACAGCACCCGACATCTACGAAGTCGAGAAGCAGCAGCGCATGAGGACACGCAAGTACAAAACTAGCAAGGAGAGCGAGAATGGGCTGTCGTGACTCATCCAAATGACAGCGGAAGATTTCTGACAACAGATAGAGGCTGTCTACTCTAAACCAAGAGGAAAAATCTCCAACCAGCCAAGTACTAACGACAAACATATGTAAGAACATGTGAATGACAACAGAAATTTAATAGAATATTTTATTGCTAACGCATTGAGTGAACACTGTAGAGGCTTTTCTAAGCACAGCTTTCTGCTTTCATGGGATTCATACGGGAAAACGTGACCATTCCGACTCGATGACTCTAATAACAGGTGAGAGGAGGCCTAATGGACCACTGGCTCTCTAAACTTGTGCCCGACCTCAATCACTTCCTGTTCTCCCAGACACATTTGAGAATCAGTCTTTCATTTTTCTCATAAAACCGTAAGATTCTTTGTGAAACATAGGACTAATATCCACAGCCCTTTCAGTGTACAATAAAACAAACAGATCAGAAAAGCAATCATAAAAATGCCAGCAATTTTAAGCAGCTGATACAGGTTATAAATTTAAAGGCTGGCCCTCTCTCTCTTCACATTTTTCTGCCTATTGTCGCCTTAAATGGTTTCAACATGAACTCGAGTGTCTCCTAATTGTAACTGAAACTGGTATGCAGTCCTTAACCGTTCTTACAGCCTAAAATGCTTAAAAAAAAAAAAAATCGATTGATCCAATAAGAAGAAAGGCAGGAGGAAAAAATAAAGGCAGGCTGATTCTTCGACTTTCCCATTTCTTTTCATTGTAGTGTTAGGAGCTTGACATGAAAAGAGACATGAGCGTTTTTTATCAGAAGATTTTAACATACCATTACTTCATAATCAGGGCCCAATAGGTTTTCCCATCTGGATTTCAGCTCATTTTCTGGAAAGTCTGGGACTCTTTCTAGATTAAAAAAAGAGAGAATGTTGAAGCTACTGTGAGCCAAACACACTTAACTACTAAATTCTTCAATAAGAGACCAGTTTCAGTAAGTAAAAGGGAAATGAATAAAAAGGAAAGTGCATTAACTGAGGTCTACCAGGTAGAGTAAATCAGAGGTGACTTATAAGACGAACGTAAAAGTAAGGACCAGCTGTGCCCAAATTGTGAAGGGGCTTTTGTTGGTAAAGATATTTTAAAGGGAAGAGGAAATAATGAGCTATAAGTGAAATTTGAATTACATACAGTTTATATGTAAACATCCTGTTTACAAGTAAAATGCCTCTGGCTTTGCTTTACATGTTAGGACAAACAAGGATTTAATTTAAATGTTAATCACTTCCTCAAGCAGCACCTTCCACTCACCCAGGAAAAGCAGAAGCTCATCAAGGTCTCTTTCCTATCGCCTAGGCACATCACACGGCCACTGGGACTTCTCCCTGACCACGTAAAGGCTGGTCTGCTCTAACGCAACCAGTGAGCGCCTTCCGCTTCACCAGGACGGCAGCTTTGACTCTACTCTGGTCTTTCGTGGCTGCTCGGTCATCACATCTTTACGATTTTCTCACGTGAGGGTAAGATAATTTTAAAGAGCGAGGACAGATTTTAGATGTCCTGCCTGTCCTCCACATGGTCCCAGCCAGAAGCTCAGTGCAGTCCACAGTCTGAACAATGCCTAATAGGCCAAAGTCAAAGAACTGAAACTATAATGTCAACTTACATCCATGGTAGTAGCAGAAAATCAACCTCCACCTTTTCTCTTTAAGTTAAAGAGAAACTCTCTCCACTTTGTCACAAGCTTGGACAAGTCACAGAATACTTATCACAACTGACATAAGCACCTGTCTAAAATCAAACACCACTTACAATATCAGCTCTTTCCGTCTTCAGCACGACAGCTCATCTTGGATGCATATAATGCTTAATTGCACAATTCAATCATCAAGTAATCAGGCTAACCTCAGGAATCTGAGACTAAGACTAATGAACACTAGAGAACTTAAATTACCAGATTTACAAAAGAAGATCCATGAAATAACTGCACTAACTGATACGCTAGATCACATTTTGGGAATAATTAGCCAGAGGTCCCAGTAAAAACAAAGTATCGTTCACGTGGGCTCTGCACGTTTGCACCGCCTCCCGTTAACATTTCTGTAAGAAATTACACAAAGAGTTCTACCATCTCACCTGTCACATTTCTTCTGGGCAGCAGTTTCTTATCTGGGAAGCTAATTTAAACAAAATTTGCAATGTATTGTTGAATTGTAAGCTTAAAAACATATTTAAAGATGATATTTCATACACGTGTATAATAATGCTGACATTCTGCCTGTAATTCTTTTGACGATATTTTTAACTTTCCGTCACACCATGAAAGCACAGACAGCCATGAGTTTGAAAGCACAGCACAAAAGCCTCAGTACCAGAGGAAACAGGTTAATTTACTTTCAGCAGCTCGATAAACCCTGGGCTACAAAAAACGATCAAAAAACGAATAGTATGATGATCTGAAAGAAGTATTCCAATGGCAATGAAGGGGAGCAGAATACGCCACCCCAAAATACACAACTTTGGCACATGGATTATCTTGGGTCTTGAAGACAATCAAGACGCAGCAGATTGAGGAAAAGCTTTTACTTCTCCCTTAACTATCTAAAAGGATTTAGAAAGAGGGCCTGTACCAGAAAACAACTATCACCAGAGACGACATTTCATCTGAAAGACCCATCTGCACGGGGAGCAAACATCTGCTCTTCTTATCATCCTGTGAACCACCCTGCTCCCCTCTGAGGCCCCGGACCCCTATCCCATTCCTCAGCCCAGGATGGCAGACAAGCCTCAGCGGCCGGACTTGCCCTTGGGTCTCATATTTTTATGGAGCTCCTGTATGTAACTAAATTTGTTTTTCCCCTGTTAATCTGTCTTATGCCAATTTAATTATTAGACCAGCCGAAAAAGCTAGAAGGGAAGAAGGGAAATTTTTTCCTCCTCGACAACAAAAAAAAGAGAGCTAACTTCATAGCAGTCAGAAGATTTTGGTCTTACTCTCAAGCTGAGATCACACATACTCATGAAAAAAAAAAATACATAGTGAGGTTGCTCCAAAAAGAGCAGATAAAACATTTCCAAAGATATTTCTAACTTCAGAATGTATTTGATTTTCACCTATTAGTTCACTGAAAATCCATCTGGGCTCACTTGAATTTAAACAGCAAAGATTAACTGCCATCTACGTGAATGGAAAAGAACAAGGTGAATTGCCAAATCATAGGAAATGTTTTAACCTGAATGAGGGGTCACTCAGTCCCTAGGCCATTCTTTCCTCAGACAAGACAGTCAAAACCGAAAGCCAAAACTTCTCTGGACACTCATGGTGTCGAGCACTCCATTTCACTCACTGGCAGGGCTTCCCTGAGCACCTCTGCAGGGAATTGTGACCCTGCTACGAACCTGCCTGCAGAACAGTCAACTATAGCAGCCGAGGTATCAAAACACAAAGAAAAGGGACAAAGGTGTACACCGATTAAGAAGAAAATTAAAGGATAAATATACGGCAACCTGGCAGTTTGATGAAACATATAACGATATATACATTAATAACTTTTATGGTGAAAAAGAAACACCGGCATATGTAGACAGACAGTTATATTGATACAGCTATATCAGTGATAACATACGAGCTGAAGTGCGTGGTAATTAAAAATGCTGACGAGATTAAAAAATAGCCATCACATGGTGCTAAAAAGGCACTCAAAATTAATATAACTAAACAAAGATTAGCAACAATACGCTTGGTCCCCAACTTCCACAAGTGTTAGGACGCTGATATTAAGAATATCGTATTTTATATCTCCAAAATTCCTCACATTTATAGAAAGAAAATGGTTAAACGAGAAAGACAAATTATTCTGAACTGAATGCTCTGTGCCTACCCCATCTCTTTAAGGCTTGTACGTTGTCATTTCTTAGATTATCTATTCTCTCTTCAGTTTCTTCATCTTCACCATCCAAATTAGTTTCCGTTTCCACTGCTCCAGAGAGAAAGAGGGCTGGTGTTTTCGGTGGTTCTAAAACAGCTCCTAAAATAAGAATTGCTACCTTGAATCACTGTGCTGATGACCATATTAAGTGAGCTCCCTCCACTCCTGTCTCCCATCTCACAACCTCAGGACAAACGTCTCAGATAACTTACATACCGGGTTCCTTGATTTAAAACGCCATGTGATAACCACTCAATTCCTAAAAAAATCAGCTTGCTGGTAGTATTGAAAAGAATAAGGGACTTGGCAATGGGAGGAGAAAAGCAAATTAAAGTCAATGACAAAGCAGGCACAGATGCGTTCCACACGGCCTGGAAAGGAAAAGAACACAAGGGTCTGGTGCTCTTGCTGCCGCCGTGGGTAGAGAGCAAGACGTTAAGATACAAGTGAGCGGAAGCCGGGCCCACTGCTCTGGGCCCTCCTGGGTTCTGCACAACCTCATCCAGAGTTTGACGAACAAGTCCACAGAGGCAGCCTCCTGCACTGTGAGGGACCAGGAGAGAACGGCCTGGGTGCAGAGGTCCCTCCCTCAGCTAAACTGAGCCAAGTAAAGTAACAGGATACCCAAAGTTTTCAACCTCAAGCGTGCAAGTCTCTATGTATCTCTTAAACACAAGAGAGGCCGAGCAAGAGTCATTTTAGGTTATTTTTAAATAGTCACATGTGACTTATAAAGTATCCTTACCAAAAACATTTCACCTGAACCTACCTGAGACCTAGATCTAGCTTCCAGCTCCCAGAGACACAGCGGAGAGAGAAACAAGTTAAATGACACCACAGGAAGCAATCAAATTCAAGATGAGGCATTCTAGTGACAAATGGACAAAAAGTCTACACTATGGGGGCCAGGGTGGGGATTCTTCTAGGTTAAGCAACCAAAGTAACCTAACACATGCAACAAGGGCAACGCCTGGCTGGATCTTGATTTTATGGGGTTTTTTTTGGGGAGAGTGGGAGAGGGAAAAGAAGCTACAAAAGACATTCAGGGGCAATTGGGGACATTTAGGTACGTGCAGGGTACTGGGTATCAGGAAATTACTGCTGCACTTCTCTGGTGTGATAAGGACGCCCCAGCCACGTAAGAGAACACCCTTGTTTTCAGCAGCTGCAGACTGAAGCACGCAGGGCTGCAGCGTTGTGAGGTCTGTGCTCACAATTAAGCGCTTAAGGAGAAAAGATCAACTGACGAAGCAAACGTGGCAAAACGTGAGCCGATGAATCTAAACGGCGGGTTTGCGGATATTCGTTACATCAATTTTCAATGCTTCTGTGTTTGAAAATGTTTACAATAAAAAAATGAAAAATGTAACCAGCTAAAAGTTCCTACGATCTTAACATGAGATTTGAAGACACACATAGGATTTTTTAGATCATTAATCTACTGACACACACTAAAAGCACAGCCCAGGGCTAGCAAAAGAAACACCAGCCAGGGCCGCTGGCAGAGCTGTGGAGAAGAGTCTGTGGGACAGAGCAGCACGTGACGCCGCTGTGTGCTACAAGTGGTATACAACTCGGTACGGGAGCAAGTACATACAAGGTGTGCAAAGGGCAGGAGTTGAGAGGAGAAAAAGTAAGATGCAGAACAGGAGAGGAAGGTGTTGGGCAAGAGCTGGAAGCTGTGCAGTTTGTTTCAGTAAAACAGACAAATGCTGACGATGTGACGTGTGACGTGGGGCAGGGGACAAAGGCATCCCCGTTCCCCTACAGCACCTCGGCCACACACAGAACAGGTGAGCACACCAGAGCATGACGAACACTACAGTGGAGTGGGAGAGCTCTTCACAGAAGCTGCTGAGACACAGAGGGAGGACGCCCGAAGCCCGGAAGAGATGCAGGTTCAAAGTCAACACTTATCCCAGCACGAACGTAAGATGAGGCGTGCCCGTAGAGAACTGCGAATTCAGACGACACATTTCATCTGATGCAGCACACTAGAGCCACAGGCTCTATCACAGCTATTCAAAACCACTGTATCAATATAAATTTTTCTGTAAACCTTTTAAGGTCAATATAGCATCTGCTCAATGTGCACTATTCAGGCGATTTTAAATTTCACACACACAGTGCAATTGACAGGGATCTGTTGCTCAGCAGCAGATTTTCCATGATCACATAAAACCTACGAAGTTGCAATGTAAATACAAACCAATATCACATGAAAGCAAAGGCTCTCAGGCTTATCATATTTTCAGAGGAGGGGAAAAAATGTATTCATCTTCTGACACATTCTAATGGAATTCTTTCTTACTCACTAGTTATATAACTAGTCATTCATTTAACCTGAATATGTGTTCCCATGATTGTCAAATTTTGTTGATCTACACATTCATCAGTTGATAATTAAAAACTGGCATGCATACAATTACATATTTGTTCCATAATGAAAATTAACTATTTTCATAATCAAAATACCAAATATTATTTTACAAATAAAAATGTTCTTGATAGAAATCCGGGTTTTATTTTCTCTCACTATATTTCAAAAAGTAAATCAAGAAACATTAGAATCAAATATATCGATAAAAGTAATATGAAACTTGAAGTTTGCAAAATGTCAAAGCATTAGACGAATGAGAGCCCTTGGAACAAAAGATGTCAAAGCTTTATTATTCAAATATAAGTAAGAAATGAAATTTGGAAGCTTTTTGGGACAATGATTTCCATCTCCATTTAGAGCTCTCAGAGCTTAATGTATGTCAGGCAGGGTTCATGTTCTAACATGTGGACGGCACATTATAATAGGCAGAGGAAACTCTTCGCTGCACAAATGAGCTGATTAATTTCTCCATCGCTGCATTACACAAGGTGGGCAGTTTCTCCTTCCCAGACTCACAGAACAGCTTCCATAAAGGAGCTATTCTTCCAAACCCAGACTACAAGGTGGGAGAGGGACAGTGGCATTAATCACCTCTGTCTGAGGGCCACTCACGTGGAGCAGCAGACCAGGGCGTCTTCCTTCGAGCTAGAGTCAGACGCACCACCTGCCCTGCACTTCGTAACACCTCGACGACATCCTGGTTGGCAAAACCCTGAATATTCATACCGTCGACCTACAACATTAAGAAACACATTCAAGAGAGGTTCCAAGTTTGCTGCTATTTTTAATGCTGGCAAGGCATAATAAAATGAGGCAATTCATTTTATTCCAAAAATAATTTGTATTACACCTAAGAAAGTATCCTTGAATAAAGATGCAAAGTTAGTAGTAAAACATGCAGACGAACTTCCTGAAAAACTAGAAAGCAAATTCAAACCTGTACCCCTAAGGCACACATTTTAACTGAACGCTGAGAGGTGAAAGGTCGTAGTCCCTGATGCTATTCACATTCAAAGTGCTGTGAAAGGCGGTGGTTGTTACACACAGCTTTCAAGATGTACTATCGAAGCTGAGGCGGTCATCCAACACTCCACCCTCTGTCACGTCTCCAACACTCCACCCTCTGTCACGTCGCTGCAATTTCCAGTGAGGAAACACGCTGCTCTCCCTCCATTAGGCTTCCCAGCATTCTGACAAAGTACGTGCTGGAAAGGCACTTCCTCCTCTCTCAACCCCCTCAGGCTACAAACCTCTCCTCCAGCTTTCCCACAAGCCCCTTCCCACAGCACCCACTGCTGGCTGCTGCTCCCCACAGCCTGCAGGTCAGAAGGCCCTGACCAGCCCGCAACGGAAGAGCCGACGGTTGAAGAGCCGACGGTTGCAAAGGGACCTCCTTAGACGGATTCACATTGTACCAACAAACGTTTGTTTTTACGTAAATCACTAAATTAAATGTGCGTGTGTGTTTACTTCAAAAATATTATTCACGGGGCTTGCCCCGTGGCTTAGCGGTTAAGTGCGTGCACTCTGTTGCTGGCGACCCAGGTTCGGAACCCTGGGCGCACACAGACGCACCGCTTGTCAGGCCATGCTGTGGCAGCGTCCCATATAAAGTGGAGGAAGATGGGCACAGATGTTAGCCCAGAGCCGGTCTTCCTCAGCAAAAAGAGGCGAATTGGCATGGATGTTAGCTCAGGGCTGATCTTCCTCAAAAAAAAAAAAAAATTATTCAAATAACTGTAAAATTTAATTTCTATTAAATGGAGGAACGAGCAGTCTGAATTAATAAAAGGTAACTATTATATTCTCCAATAGATAAAATATCTCAATTTTGTATGTACTCAAAATGACTGTTAGTAGAAAAATTACCTTCATGAAGAGATGACAACGAGCTGGTTAGTGGCCTGTTAATTGTGTTAAAATGGTGAATTTGAAGAACACAGAGGTCCTGGAAATGCTCTCTGGGAGAAGCTAGACTATCTTCCAAATACATATATATAATTGTTTTCCTACCAATATGGTTAGTGACCCCTTTTTTCACAGACAGTAAATAAAAATCAAATTTAGGACCATAAGAGTCCAAATTAATGAGATTTCACCATACTAACAAACTTGATTTCTTAAAACACTATGAGACTATACTAAGCCAGTCCCCTCTCATACACATTATAATGAAGATAACTTTTTCCCCAACTCAAGTCAACTCTAAAACAGAGGGCAGTTACTTACAGCCACTATTCTGTCGTTCACTTGAATCTGGCCATTGTGGTACGCTGCGCTGCCAGGTATGATACTTTTCACATAAATCCCTGAGGCTTCCCCTAAGGTGCACAAAACACACGGAAAAAAGAAGACAGCTCTAATTAGGCCTTGATTGCAAAATTCATATTAAAAGGCTCATTAGCTAAAGGGCTGACTGGAGGCTTGATAAATACTATTTTGAACGCAAGCACAGAAATTGATGGATTATTTCAAACTGTCACCATCACAAGTGACCCGAATTTGAAATGATTTGACTGATGACTATTTCTGGAAAAATGATCAGTAATGAAACCTTGATGAAATGATCTCTAGTAGAAACTGGGATTCAGGAGAGCCCAGGGTAAGGAGGACCCTCTTCTCACCACTGAACCAGCAGAAGCCTTCCTCAGTCTCCACCAACACTCCAGGTCTCCTAACAGGTCCTCCTGCCTATACCCAGCTCATGCTACGTTAGCTTCCCAAACCAGAGAAGTACACACAGCCGTGAAAAACCAGAATTAATATCGCAACATGGACTAACCCTTATTATAAAATAAAACATTTAAATAGAAATAAACGGCTGTTTAAAAATTACAACTATACAAAAACTGTGCATGTCTATGGGCAAAGACTGGACGGGAAATTGGAAAATGAAAAACTACAGCTCTGGATGATTTTATATTTTTATTTTTTAATTTCAAATGAGCTTAAAATATTGTCTATAGAAGAAAAGTAAACATTAACGGATTCTAAAGCCTACATAATAAAGTGTGAATTTCACAGAATCATATTCAAGGACCTCCATAATCCACGCCCAATTTTTTTTACTTCATCTTCCAACTGCTCTCCCTCCAACAAGACAAAAGTCCAGGCACACAGACTCTTGATATTCCACCAAAACAAGTATGTTCATGATTTTCTCTCTCTTCTCACTTCATTTTCTCTTCCTGTCAACCTCCCCCTTTCCCGTGCCCCGTACACAAGCCTCTTCGTGAAGTCTCCATTTCCCTGTTAAAGTGAATCTGTCATCTGATCCATGTGATGACGGTTTGCTGCTGTCTCTGCTAAAACATATATCTCATTTATCCTTGAACAATTGAGAGTTATTTACAAGTCTGTCTCCCTGAATAGACTTTTTATATCCATTTTTCTACCCCTTTCCAGAATAAAGTAAAGTAACTGCTCACAAGTTCCAATGAATGGAATAAAGAGAAAATTATTTTGAAAGACTACATGTTAAAAAGCATATTGAGTTTTAAAATGTTCTAGCTTTTGCATTCACCACTGCCCCCTACCCAGTCCCAAAAACTTCTTTTGAGGGTAAAGAAGTAAAATGATCCTTTTCTTTATTCAGTAACATAATCATCAAATGTCCTCGATTTTCTATCAGTTACTCACTTTCATTTTACTCTGCATGTTTGTCACTAGGTTTACAAGAACACCTTGAGAACTTATATAACAAAGGGTCATAAGCCACAAGATGAGGAACTAAGCCGTGATTCCTACCCAGACAGCATATTAGGAGCTACTCAATATAGTTTTTTTGCAACATTATTATACTACCCATACTTACCTCTTTTGGAACTCATTTAAATTCTGAACCTAAAAAAGGTAGCACTTAGAAAAATCTAACAGTGTGAAAGCAGTTATTTCATTAGGCTAAAATAGCACGAGGTGGTCTGATGTGAATTTCACTCAGGACTCGGAATATATTAGCACTCTTAATCTTTCCACCTGCTGTAAATATGCAAAATAATATATATATTTTTTTAAATCACTCTCTAATTTTGCTATTTTTTAAAAACTAGAACATTTCATAGCTGGATTTTCATGTTAGTAGCAGATATTTGTGAAAAAGTTTTATTTTTTCTTAGTTTAATGATTCTCTTATAATAATAGGGTACAGTGAAAGTTACCAAAGCTTTGCATGTGGGAGTTGAGGGAGTGTTATTCAAAGATACATGGGCCACGTATTTACTCTTACAATATATTCCCTGTATATGAAAGGAAAATAATTCTAATTAAAGTATTTGTTTTATCCTATTTTTTCAGGGATTAAACATAATAGTAATACTTTTTTGACATTTACAATATGAAATATATTCAGTAATCATTTTAGTACATGTAAAATGTCATAATGTGATAGTCACAGTATTCAAAATATATCTATCTTAGAAGAGGAGGTTCAAGTGTCATACAATGAGTTGGACAATTAAATTCTTTTGTTAATGACTATCAAGCCAGCTATAAAACCATTGCGATAAAACTGATTCTCTGACCACTGAAAAGTAACTGGTTGCTCTTACAGATTCACGGTTTTATTGTTCATGTTCAAAATAAAATTTGCAGATATTTAATCTTACTGTCTAGAAACCTTAACATCTTTTATAATTATTTCCAAATATAAAATAGAAATGATTCATTTACCTGTATTTGGGGTTCCAACATAGCCAACAATTCTAATTCCAAGACTCTGTCCATCTTTTTTAATGAGTTCAACATTATAAGTTTCAAAAAGAGTAGAATTGTCCTAAAAGGAAAAAATAATTTTAACTATATATAACGTTTAGTTACGTAACTGTGTGCACATAGTCAATTGGTGCGTGGTTTGTCAAGTATTTTCCTAGCACCTGTGGTAGGCAGAATTCTAAGATGCTCCCCATGACTTCTGGTCCCTGGCACTAGTCTTGTGTTTATGTTACATCACATGGCAAGAGGGAGGCTATTCTGGCGAGCCTAATCTGATCAGGAATCCTTCAAAAGCAGAAGTCTTCTGCTGGTGGCAGAAAAAGATCTGAAGCATGAGGACTGGACTTCTAGTTTGAAGATGGAGGGGTCACAGGAGAAGGACTACAGGGGGCTTTGAGAAGCTGAAAGGGGTCCTTAGCTAACCGCCAGCAAAGAAAAGAGACTTCAGTCCTGCAGCCGTGAGGAACTGTATTCTGCTGGCAGTCAGAATGAGCTTGGAAGTGGACTATCCCCAGAGCATCCAGATAAGGACTCAGCCAGGCCTTGTAAGAATCTAAGCAGAGAGCCCAGCCAAGCCCACCAGACTTCCGACCTACAGAACCGTGGACTAACAAAGCATGTTGTTTTAAGTCACTGTTTGTGGTAACTTGTCCTACAACAATAGAAACTGACGCAGCCACTTAGAACAACTCAGGATGAGGCTGTATCTGAAAGAACTAAATGTAAAGAAAAATTTAGAAACACACGGTAAGACTAATTATTGTGAGTAATAATTATTGTGAGCAAAAAATATTGACCTAAAACTTATTTTCATTACTTGTCTTCTAAGTTTAAATATTTCTGTAAAAGAGTAAGGTTAGTGTCTAAAAACATAATACCTGTCTTTCAATTCAAAACATTAACATTAGAAAGTACATAACTGCATCAAATTCTTGCTTAGCACACAGCCTCACTGGCCTCTCACTGCCAGCAGAAGGCTCCAGAGAACTAGGGTAGTGGAGAGAGAAGAAGACGCTGTAGCCACAGTTGAGAGAGGAAAACAAAACCGACTCTAGTGTCTCAGACAGAAAAATTCCACTCAGATGGCTCCACGTGGGAAAGGCGAGATGAGCGGAGGTCTCCCGCCCCTTCCCACCACAACCACTTCCCCTCTCCATCCTCTTCCTCCTGCCCCTACTCCCAAAAATGATTTCTTTCCTTTTGTTTTATTATCTCTTGATAATAAGATAATAAGAGCCTGTGGGGTAGCTGGAAAGAGCTTGGAATGGAGCAAAAAGATCTGAATTCTTCATAGGTCTTAGATTAGATTTCCTTAGCTAAGAAAACTAGTAAGACCTTAATAACACCTGTCTTGACGATAGGATGATAAGACCGATCTTGCAGCATTCCCATGAGGACTTCAGATGACCTGGACAATTCCAGGTGCTTGATAACAATTAACAGTAATGATTACTATTATACAATCACAATGATTGTTGTTCATAATAAATATTATTATTAACATCTGTTCCCTTGGCCAGTCTGTTCCATCAGCGATAACTCTCCTACAGTGACCAGTATTTACAGCTCCCTCACTGTCTGGAAGTCTCTTCCCCACTCTAATGAAATAGAAATGGCAAGTATTATTATTCTCCAATTTCCAGATGAGCAGCTGAGGCTCAGAGAGGTTAAATGACAAAACCCTGAAAAACAGCAAAAAAGAAAATCAAACTTGTCCATTGTCTCCAAATTGGGCTCTCCTCTGCTTCCCTGGTGAGCACTGAGAATGGGGACCACTCACGCCAGTGGCGACCTCGAGCCGAAGGCATTTCTAATCTTGCAGCGTACCACGCCAGTATTTAAGATGAACGAATGATCTGTATACTCACAGAGCTCGGACTGCTGTTGGCGACGGCAGACAGGGCAACAGGCGAGGTGGCAGGGATGGGAGGGGTTACAAAGACTTCATCGACTGGGTCTCTGGCAACAAGCATTCTGACCGAGTCCCCACAATTCCTGAGCACTTGTGCAACCTGCTCACTCGTCATGCCCTGCACGTCAGTGCCGCCAATCTTCAGGATGTGGTCCCCTGTCTGGAGTCTTCCATCCTTTAGTCCAAGAACAAAACAAAATTATTCTGAGAAATCAATGATCTAACCTCAGTAGTTAATAATGATTCATCAGACTTTCAATTCTGGCAAAATGGCTAACAAAGAAGCCATCTGTAAATGCTGAATAAAAGATAATATTTTTAATGAATGGCTGAATTGGCAACAGAGAAAAAGAAGCCCTTATAAAACAAAAAAAGATTGGGGAGGGAGGTGTTCAAAGGAGAAGAGTAACCAGAATTCTACAACGGGCATGTGTGTGAGGATATCCCTTCACGCCTAGCAGCCTAGAGCCAGGGTAGCAATGGCCATGTGTGCAAGGAAGAGACCAGAGAGCCCTGGGCCTCAGGGGAGGAGGAGGTCAGATCAGGGGCCCCCAGCATAAAGCTGGGAACTCTACACGCCAACAAGGTCAGGGGCACCTTTAAGGAACAGCAGGAAGTCAGTGTGGCTGGAAGAGAAGGAGCAAAGATGCAATGAGAGCGTTGGCGGAGTCGGCAGTGTAGAGCATTTGCTCAAGCGAGTGGGAAGGGAAGTCACTGGAGGGTCAGGAACAGAGAAGGACATTATCTGACATACTCTTGACAAGATCACTCAAGCTTCTGTGCTGAAAATAGACTACAGGAGAGGAAACAATAGAGCAGAGACACCAGCTGGGAGGCTAAAGCAATAATCTAGAAAAAGATAACAGCTTGGACTAGGTTAGCAGTGGGGGTGCTGAGAAGTGAGATCCTAGGCATATATTTATAAACTGTCAACGGGCTCTGCTGGTAGCTTCCACATGGGGTATGAGGGGAAAAGGAATCAAAACTCCCAGTTTTTAGCCTGAGCAACTGGAAAGAGGTAAAGAAGACCACAGAGGGACAGATGGGTGGGCGCGGAAGCCAGGAGTCAGTTTCAGAGACGCCTCGTCTGAGATGCCTATTAGGCACCCAAGTGGAGGTACCAGCCATGCAGCTGGATATACAAATCTGGAGTTCAGTGAAGTCCAGACTACACACTTAAATATGGGAGTCATGAGCGTACAGAAGGTATTTAAAGTCATGATTCTGGATGAGTTTAGAGTTTAGAGAAAGGATATGTAACAGGGAGAAAGGATATGTAATAATATTGTTATTATTTAAAATGTTCTATTCCTTAAACTGGGCGGTATATACATTGGTGATTATTATTATTATTTAAAATGAGTACAGACATTATAAACACTTACTTGTATGTATACTTCATATACAAAAAAGTTTAAAACATAATTTATCAAAAAGTATGTCGGTTCAAAATGTTTATCACTTCCATTCTATCTTCATTCTATCCATAAATTCCCCTGAAATTTCTTTTTTTTTTTTTTTGGGAGGAAGATCAGCCCTGAGCTAACATCTGCCAATCCTCCTCTTTTTTTGCTGAGGAAGACTGGCCCTGGGCTAACATCCGTGCCCCTCTTCCTCCACTTTATATGGGACGCCGCCACAGCGTGGCCCGACAAGCGGTGCGTCAGAGCACGCCTGGGATCCGAACCAGCGCACCCCGGGCCGCCGCAGCGGAGCGCACGTAGCTGCTTGTGCCACCGGGCCAGCCCCAAATTCCCCTGAAATTTCTGAAACAGCTGATCCATCTGCTTTTTCACTAAATTTGTTTCATCAGAAATTCTGAATTCTCGTTATTTATCTTTCTACAATGTATTAAAGATACCAGAATGTAAACATAGCTGTTTACAAAAAATTACACCTGCAGACCACTTTACAGGTTGAAAATCACTTTTCATGTATCATTTCATTCAGAGAAGGATAACTTTCAAATGAGAAAACTGAGATTCAAAAAGGTTGACTGCCCTGACCAAGGTCACAAAGCTAATAAGTGGCAGAACCAAAGTTCAACACCAGTTGTCCCACTGAAGACCCGTCCTCATGTGGTCACTTGTCTTATACTTTGATATCTCCAGAGTAACACCAGTAGATAGTAAATTCACTGTTTTCCTATTCTCCAAGAAATTGCCATAACTGTCAAAAAACTTAAATACAGTGAAGATGAAAAACAGACATTCTGCAACTGGGAGAGGAGGACAGCCTGAGGGTAGAGCGATGACCACTGACTGGGCTAATGCAGTTGGAAGCTCCATCTTCCTGGCTCCAGGAGGCACCAGCTATATAAGTTGTAGATGGAATTCAGAAGAAAAAAGTGAAAGAAAAAAAAAGCCATAAGACTAAAAAGTCTACTCCTCATCCTTCCTTTTCTCCAGTTTTGCAGAAACCTGAATGAAGGAAGGTGTTAGATCAAAATATTAAGTAGAAAGCTAAGTGCTTTGTTGTGAACTCTGCAGAAGGCACCAGAAGCGACTGGAAGTGCAGAGGAGCAGGGAAACAGAAACGCAACCCCATCCAGAAACATGTGGAAAGACTTAGAGGAAAAAAATAGACGCAAGGAGGAAATCATCACGGAAAAGGATAAGGAATTGCTGGATCTCTGCTTTAAGCACTGAATATTTGATATTCTATTTCTATCGAGGCAACAAACTTGAAATAAAACAAGCAACTACTTAAGAGAAAGTCAGTGGTCATGATGAAAAACAAGAGTAAAGCTGCCTCTGTGAATCGAACCATCCTTGAACAGAATTATGGCCTGACCAAAGAATACAGAATACGTCAAATAAGTGTTTTCATACTTGGGTTGGCCCAAAAAAGGGCATTTCGCCATAAGTACACATTTAGTCACTTCTTAGGTACTATTTTTTCCCTATTTTACCTCAACTCAATTGAAAATGATGTAGATAATTTGCAGCTGTCACTGAAAGTCAAACATTTTCCTCTTCCAGAAAAACAGGTGTTCTAAAGAATTCATAAGTGCAAAAACAATCACAGTCAGATTGACAGGAAAGACACCAAAATGACAGCTACCTGCAGTGATAAATGGTATGATGGTCCATTATATGTGTCACCTTGGCTGGGCTATGGTGCCCAGGTGTTTGGTCAAACACTAGTCCAGATATTACTGTGAAGGTATTTTGCAGATGTGATTAACAGCACAATCAGTTGACTATAAGTAAAGGACATTACCCTCAATAACATGGGTGGGCTCCAACTAATCAGTTGAAGACTTTAAGAACAAAATCTGAGGTTTCCTGGAGAAGGAATTCTGCCCTAAGACTGTAACAGAAATCCTGCCAACCTGCCCTATAGATGTCTGAGTCCCCACACTGCAGCATCCACTCTTGCCAGAGTTTCCAGCCTGCTGACCTGCCCCACAGATTTCAGAGTTGCCAGTAAACATGTCAACATTTATTAAACTGTATACTTTATATACGCACAATTTGTCGTATGTCAATTATGCCTCAAAAATTACTGAGAATCTCAAAGAGCTCTGGTTTACGTGCTTCTCTGCATGGATATCTCTGTTGATATCTACTGAATTAGAAAATAGCAGTGAGAAATTTTTTAAATATTTATATAGTGATGTACATGCTTTTTATTTTAAAAAGTTATATTTTCTAAAACCAAAAAAAATAGTGAGAAGAGTGGTATCTTAAAATATATTTGTAAATCTCTTTAAAGCCTGGCTTTAAAGAAGAGAGATGGATTTTCACATCAGCTTCAGCATTCACTATGTTGTGATACGTTGTTTGGGTGAAGGATATAAAGAAAATATGGCCTCAGTCAGATACACAGACGGAAAATGGAGGATATTTTAACCCCCTTTGAGCCCATTCTTCGTTGATAACACACCAAAACTTGACAAGTGGTGGTTTCTTAAACATCAATTGCAATGTGGAATCTGAAACTACATCAACAAACTTTCAGATATTGTTTCATTAAAATCTATTGCTCAATCTTGAATTTTGAATGGATTTTTTTGGTGTGTGTGTGAGGAAGATCAGCCCTGAGCTAACATCCGCTGCCAATCCTCCTCTTTTTTTGCTGAGGAAGGCTAGCCCTGGGCTAACATCCATGCCCATCTTCCTCTACTTTATATGGGACGCCACCACAGCATGGCTTAACAAATGGTGCATTGGTGCGTGCCTGGGATCCGAACCTACGAATCCCGGGCCGCTGCAGTAGAGCACGTGCACTTAACCACTGTGCCACCGGGCCAGTCCCTTGCATGGATTTTTTTTACCAATATATTATTTTGTCATATCACACATTGGTCTTCAGAAAATACTGATTCACAGAGTTATGCAGATCTTCCAAATACTGACATATTTCATTATATAATATCAAAAAATCATGTTCATTAATATCACCAACAATCTGATCAGAAGTCTTTAAATGTTGGGAAATTTCAAGGTCATGGTAAAACACAAATTTTTGTTAGAAGCAAAATTCTAATTAGAAGCAAAATTCTAATTTTTGCTTGAAAGTTCAAATTTTATCATCAGTAAATGCTGTCAGTTGTTTTTCTTGAAGTAATACGCTCACTTCATTCATTTTCAAGAAAACGTCTGCCAAATACTCAAGCCTGAATAATCATAATTACTCTGTCAGTTATTCTTTCAAAAATAAAAATGCTGTTCCAGATTAGTGGTTGTCAGAGGCAGGGTTTGGGGGGTGGGCCAGGCCAAATGGGTGAAGGGAGGTCAGCACTAAAATGAATAAGGTGTGGGGATGTGATGTACAGCATGGTGACTACAGTTAATAATACTGTACTCTACATTTGAAAGTTGCTGAGAGTAAATCTTAAAAGTTCTGATCACAAGGAAAAAATAACTTGTAACTGCGCAGTGTTGGGTCTTGACTTATTGTGATGATCATTTCACAATATTATACCTATATCAAATCACGCACACCTGAAACTAATACAACCTTGTATGTCAATTATATTTCAAAAACTTTTTCGAGTAAGAGAAAAAATAAAATAAATTTTAAAAAAATGCCGTTCCATATTGAAAAGTGGCTAGTTGGTCTCACAAATGTTCTTCCTCAGGACAAACACCCTTCAGCACATGGCAGAAGTGCTGGAGGGCACATCCCATTTTGTCACACAATATTAAAAAGACATGCAGCTAAAGGTCAAAAGTTACTAAAACCGGTAATTTTTACTGCACTTTCTTAGGTGACACTGGCATTTTCCTTCTCTTTTCGTGGCAAGCACACAGCAGAGAAGAAGGCACCGGCTACAGCATCGTCTGACACCACCGCGTGTTTCACACCAGGGCACCAGCAGTTTAGTCTACCACCACGTCTGCACCATCGGTGCAGACGTCCACCTAGTGAGAGGGCTCATCACGTCCTGCTACTCTTACAGAACCTGCTGTGAGCTTAGAGAACCCCTGCAGGAGACTCAGGGACCCTCAGGGTCCAGAGACAAAACTCCAAGAGCGGCTGCTGTGAATAAACACACTTGGATGCTGCAGGGATAACAGGAACACGAGAGGCTCCACAACTTGTACGAGGTGGAGCGGTGCTGGTTAGAAATGAGGAGCCGAGGGACGCGTCTCAAAGCTGCGTTTGCACATCAAGCTCATTCTTACCTTATGTGTTTATTAGAAGGGATAAATTTATACGTAACTGGACATTAATCAGTGAAATTTACATACTATTCTGATTCTCACGGACAGTCTATATAACGTGAGATCATTACTAAGTGACTTCATAACCAAATTTCTAAACCACTTTCTAAAAACTAAATGTAGTATTTAACATTTTCTTCAATGTAAAACTAAGCCAAAACAGTTGATATGTTTAAATATGGCCCACTTTCAGTTTAAACACAGCTAAATAATGAAGTGTTGTCATCTGATTTATAACACTAGAAAACTGTAATTCAAGTGACATTTACCACGTACAATATTGGGACAAATGTTTACAATCACTGTGCCATCTGATTTTAACATTTAGGCCCTTGAAAGACACACTGGGAGAGAACAATATAGACATTCAGAATGCAATACCTATTACTGATTCTTTTCAATAAAAAATACTGTCCTCTAATATAAACTAACACACGGACAAAGAAAACAGTTTGGTGGTTACCAGGGGGAAGGGAGTTGGGGGATGGGAACGGGGGTGAAGGGGTGCATTTACATGGTGACTGACAAATAATAATGTACAAGTGGAACCTCACAATGTTATAAACTATTATGACATCAATAAAAAAAAGAAAAACATACTGTCCTCTGACGGAATCAAGAAGACCATCAATCACAGGCAAAAAAACCACCAAAAATGTTGCTTTAGGAAATGTTTAAAATAAAGCAGAATGAGTGTACATTAACACTTATAGAAAAAAACATTTTTAGCTCTACTTAAATTCTAGTTGTGGAATCATATATCCTCGTAACCCATATTATGAAATCACATTTCAAGCCATACAATTTAAATTGTATAAAACCCAATGAAAACAAAGAAGGTCAACTTACTCGATCTGCTAATCCTCCAGGAACTATAGTCCTCACGACCACACCACTTGATTTTCCTCCAACTATTCCAAAACCTAATCCAGACCCGTCATTAATGAGCTCAACATCTTCAATATGGCCCCAGCGAACCTACAAATTCACGGCAAGAGCCAAAGTGTTAGTAACACAGATTCTTAGCTTCCCAATACGGTGATCACTACGGTAACAGAGACACAACAAACTGAACACTCATACAATTAATCAAGGCAGCTTTCTAGAGGCTAAGGGATACTTGAGGATGATTATATGGTCCCTGCCCTAAGGATCTTACAGTCCAGTAGAGTGATAACCTACAACACAAATAATTAAAATACAGGACAGAATATTGGATCATCAGACACTGTGGCTCTAAGAGGACAAAAACACGTCTCATTTCCCCGTCTACGCCCAATATCTGGCACAGGGCCCAGCACACAGTAGGAACCAATAAATACATTTTATCTGAATTGAAGGAGAACCACAAAATATTATAAAGGTGGAGGGGTAGAGACAAGAAGTCAAATCCAGTGAAGAACTACGGACAGCGTCCAGGAGAAGGTGGCATTTTAACTGCTCTGCAGAGAAAAAGGACATTCCAGCAAAAGAGACTGTTGGAGTAGAGCTGGCTGGGATGAGAGGGCGCGAAGAACAGGCGGTGTGAGAAGAGGGAGCGAGGGGACACAGCAGCCATTCAGGAGGTTGACCTGGCAGCAACGTGAAGTATGGATAGTGCCGAGACTGATGTAGGAGACTCCTACCAGGGAGAGGAAAGCAGGCCCGACTGAAGATATTGGCAATAGGACTACACAAATTAGAAAAGAGATACGTGCCTCTTCCCTCTAACTAGCAGGCTTCCATCAGAAACGGGCACTAAATTCACACACTCCAACTGCAGAACAAAACTTTCCCTCTCAGATCATGAGGGCATATTTATTCCTTAGTTTTTCTGTGATACTAACTTGGAAAGTTACTGTACAAAGTTAAAATGACCAGGAATATTGGGAATATTTAATAAATCCACGTGGGGAACAATATCTGGTATCTGGGCAGCAACAACATTTGCTCAAGTCTGCCTGAATTGGGGAGAGCAGCTAATATTCACGGCACCAGGCGCCGTGCTGAGCTCTTCACATGCGTTCTCGTCAGTCCTCACGACATCTCTGTGCAGCAGACACTGTTCTTGGTTCCAGGTAACAGACGAAGGAACTGAGGCGAGGAGGAGTCAGAGAACCAGCCCAGTACGGCACGGCTGGGAGTGGACGAACTGGACTCGACCCCTCCCGAGCCTGCTGCAGGCCCTGGGTCTCAGCCAGGACACAAAGCATCTTCCCACCCTGTTCCTTCTACTTATTACGTAAATTGTGGCGTATGAATATTACTGATGACAACAGGGAAAATGTCTATACATTAATTTGTGTTGTTGTGACCTTGTACTGTACCCAGTCTATTTTTTCCTTTTGTCCCAATGAATAAAAATTAAATATATCAGCTAGCACTTACTGTTATAAGAAAATAAGATTTATTAGTTTGCATTCTGAAGATGCAGGCCAAAATCTGTAAAATGTTATAAAGCAAGTTTAAAGATTTCCAAAAGAGACGTATACTTTTATTCTTTTAAATTGTTCAGCATACATCCTTACATGAAAAAAAAGAAAAACGTCTATAATTTTGCAGTATCAATAATCTAGTCATAAACACTCAATACAATTTACAAAAATAATGTTTTTGAAATAAACAACCAAATCTTACTTAAGATACTCAACAGTAAATCTCTAATAAAAACTCTCATCTTTGTTAATTAACTGGCTACATCATCAAGGAACACAAGACTCCTTCTATCACCGAATAAATTACACCTAATACTACAATTTGTCCTCTATATTAAATAATAATCTTAAATAAGGAGAACCATAGCACACTGAAAAAACAAACCCCCCCAAAAAAACCCTCCATGAAATATCTTGTTTAATATGCTAACGCTGCATTTGGACATATGATCATCTCTTTTAAACTATGACAAGTAAAATGACACCTTCTAAATGTGTTCACACTCCTTAAAATCAATAGCACAATTCGAAATTGAGTATTCTTCCAAACTTGCAACGTACCGTTCCCGGCAGGGTTGTATCAGGTAGGCTGGTGGAAGTACCACTTTTTGTGTGGACTGGCTCCCTCGCCACGACCAGACGCAAAGGTCCAGTGGTTTGCTGTAATAATGCGATTGCCTGCTGGTGAGAAATGCTCTGGTCCAGTGGTGTGTGATTAATAGCCAATATTTGGTCATTTTCCTTTAACCTTTGATCCCTTAATGAAATAAGAAAAGAAAATATTGTTGTAAGCGATACAACAGTCTGATTTTAAAACATCTACCACTCGAGCAGTTTATTTCGTCCAGTGCTATGTCACTTAGGACATTTATTTCAATACTTATTTAATTCTATAACAGAGCTCCTCAGAGTGTTTGCCATCAAAGCACTCATTAACTAATCAGCCAAGTGCATCCCTACACACACACACACACACACACACACGCATACATTTTAAAAGTCACTTGTCTAGAAAAATAAGCAACAACCATGTCTAGGGCCCCACTGCCAAGATGTTGCAAGTATGCACACTGCACGCGCGCTGTGTCCCTGAACCCCTTCCACTCTGCGGTCAGCACACCACCCTGGGGTTACTCGACTCTCAGATTCACCAGTGACCTCCTCCCTGGCAGATGCATCCCGTCCCGCTGTCCTTCACCTCCCCAACATCTGTCAACAGAGGCCAAGCTCTCCCTGAAAATCGACAGAGATTACTTCCAAATCCACGTCTGAGCCCTGCTCTCTGCCCAATCACCAATCTCCCAACTGCTAACCCAGGTAAAAGGAACCATTTTTAGAAGAAACTAGCAAAATCTTACAAAAAAAAAAGGTAGTATTCTAGCTCATATTGACTGAGCACTTATGACGAGCCGGGTACTATGCCAAATGCTCCACAGGCATGATCTCATTTCATCTTCACAGTCACCGTTTAAAGTGCTCAGTTAAATTTTACACACGAGAAATCGAAGCCTGGGCAAGCTCAGCATCCTATCTAGGTAGCCTGACCCCGAAGCACACCCTTCAGCTTCTCACAGCGCACTCGCACCCGGAGCAGCACTTGCTCTGGCTTCTGTATTCAACTCCACTCTCCCAGAACCACTCCTCCTCTTCCCCTTTCCACCCTGCTATCACCACAGTTCTTCCTTATCCTTCTTTATCTCTCTTGCATCCACCCATCTCCTCCTTTCCATTCCCAACGTCAACCATCCAGTTGAGACTCCTTATCTAATACCTAAAACCTAACTTGCAAAATTCCTCAAGGCTTACTTTTCTAGGCTCTCTTCATGCTAGTATTTCCCCACTCAAAAGGTATAATTATCTGTGGTTGTTGACCAATAAGGAAAGAAAACAAACTCTTGTTAGGATTGTTTCATAAAAGAACATTTTTAAACTTCAAAATACAAAATCTCTCTGAGAAGGGATTAATCTCTGAACAGAGAATTCTAATTCACAAATTTAGAATTATGAAAATTCCATTATATTGCCCTTCTTTTTCTCAGGTCACAGCAGACTCAGCAAAACTTTCCCATGGACCGGAATTTGTAACTTCTGACCTCTAAGACAAGGGTAAACTTGGTGGGCATTCAAAGACCACTACATTTGGCCCCAAAGTACTCTTCCGGCCTAGCTTCCTCCCTCACAAACCCCTTTTCCAACTACTCTGAACTACTCTTTCCCTCTCAGACACGTCTAGCATGCCCTGTTCTTGTGTAAATGGTTCCCTCCATTTCTAACGCCCTTCCACTCTGCTCAGCCAAAGTCAATCCACCCTCCACCATCCAGCAGAGTCTCTCTCTCTCACTTACCTCATTGTCACGGTGCTTAGAACCACTCCTTTACCACTCACTGAATGTTCATTTATACTAAGGATGCTGTCCACAGAGCTAGCATAATCCTTCCCTGTTAGATGTTAAGTTTTCTGAGGACAGGGACTCATACATTTTAGATTCTCCTTTGAAACTAGCAAGTTGGATATTTCAATTTGGGGGGCCAAAATTGTGGGTGGCTCTCACAATAGATCGAGTAGCATTAAAAATGTTGCTTATACATTCTCTTATTAATATTAGGAAAGGCTTATGTTATATTAAGAGATAAGAATAAGACATAAAATTGTATATACTCCGTGACCTTGTCTTTCTACAAAGAAAACATTCTAATGTATTTCCTAGTTGCCTCAGGTGGTCAAAGTCCAAGAGGTTTTTGGGTTTTTTTTCCTTTCTTCTTATATTTCTCTATTTTATAATTTTCTATTTTATGCATGTATTACTTTCATAATGATTTTCATAACTTTGAAATATCTATTTTAAAAATTGAGAATCTTGCTTATGAACTTTTCCCTAGTCCTAAAGAAACATTTATTTTTAAATGTGACCACTACAGGACAGTATCCAGGAATCACTTCCATTTTCTTATCTCCAATGTCCTCCTTTCTCTAACTTCTTTGCCTAAATTCGTATTCACAGCTCATTCATTAAGGAAAAGTTCTTAATTAATCCCAAATGAATGAGTTCCTCTGGAATCTTTTCAATCCTGATGAAACTCATTTTGCATAAGTCAGTCCTTCATTTACTCACACTCAGATTTTCCATTTTCTGGAAACGGATCTATTTTAATCTACCTTTCCCTCTCTCAAGACACTTCCAGGACAGCTTGTGTCTCTGCAGTTAGTATGTGCTCAAGGAATATAAACTCAGCCTAAGATCAACAGGCTGCGGAGGAGAAGTCTCCTAGAAAACACGATTTTGATGCATTCTAAAATTGAACAGAATTAGTCTTACTGCCACTATTATTTACTATTTAACTCCGCCACACTATTTGTATATATATATATGTAATTGAATTCACACTTTCCCTTCAAGGGGAGACCAGTTCTTGTCTCTCCAGCCCAACATTCAGAAATAATGGATTTCCATGACTTTGAGAGCCAACAGGTCTTGGGCGAGCTCCTAAAATGACACGGCTCTATGTGCAAAGTCCTCAGAAGGAAGGAAGAGCTGATCACGAAGAGCACTTAGCATGATGGAGAAGGTCCCGCGTGGCTGGCCCATACCTCTCCCCAGCCCCTCTCTCGCCACCCTGCGCTGAGCTTCCACACCAGACCAGCACCAGCCACACCCCCAGGACATGAGCTATGTCCCCCTCTCCATAGGGCTCCTGGTCAAGAGAGTCTATTCCTCTCCCCAGCAACACTGCTCTCTGCAGACCCCACTCTCTCCTCTCCATTCCCTTCAAGCACCACTGCCTCTGGGAAGCCACCTGACTCCCTAGCCTCGGTCGAGGTTCTTTACACATGTCCAAACATCAAACTCCTCTTTTTGAAGGTGCTCACCCCAACCTGTAATTACAGACTTATTAGTACAGAGTAACTGAGATATAAGGATGGACCACAAAAAGGTTGCACAATACTGAAAACACACTAAAAATTACTGAATTGTACACTTTAAAATGGTGACGTTTATGTTATGTGAATTATATCCCAATAATAATTTTTTAAAAGTTAAAAAAATTTAAAAGTTGGGCCAAAGTTAAACAGGCTTTTGGTCAAGGGACTTCACAGCCTTAAGAAAGCTAACATTAAGCAATGCTAGGTCCAGGTTTACCCTGGATTGTCCAGGTTTGCCAGAATCGTCCTGGTTTATACCCGCTGTCTCAGAGTCATTAGTAATAGCACACCTTCTCACTCCCAAAACTACCCCACCTGGACAATAAACCATATGATGACCCTAACTATGTACACTCAATCACCAAGAACAGGACAGAGGTCCTCAGATATATCTGACCACTGCTCTGGTTCCTCAGAACATACTCGAGGAGATGCTGCATTAGATGGCAGAATAAAGATGCAAAGTCATGGAAATCCATTATTTCTGAATCCATTATTTTCAGCTGGGGAGACCAGAACTGATCCCCCATGAGTGGAGAATGTGAATTCAAAAATATACTATTGACCGAGAATTTTTTTATAATCATATTGCTACTATTGCTATTATTCTAACAGGCAGTAGTAATGTAATGAATAATGTGCTTGTTAAATGAAAAATAAACTAAAGACCTGAAATCAAATAGAAACAAAACATAAGGCTTGCACATACCCCTTAAAAAAGTAAAACCAAGACACAAGTGCAATAGGGGGATCACACAGACTTGAGGGGGCTTTTAATTGACGTAAGTGAAATAATCAATAGTGTCATACGATCACCAAAAAGGTGTTATAATCTTACGTTTAATGAACAATACAGCATGTAGAATGCAGATTCCCATATTCCCATCGTTCTGATCAGCACCACAGGACACCACATCACACTCCATCGTGAGAGCGGCGCAGTAGAAAGAGCACCAGCTCTGCAGCCAGGCCATCCTGGGATCAAATCCCAGTTCCAGCATTAACAGCTCTGTGACTCGAGGCGAACTACTGACCCTCTCTGAGCTCAGTGTCTTCATCTGTAAGAGGCAGTAACGACACCACTATGGGACTGCAGCCCAGAGTGTACGCGAGCGTGTCTGCAGAGGCCTGACAAGCGCCTGGGGGAGGGACAGGAAGCACCAGCTGCTGCTCTGCTTTGATTCCCAGTTTCTATTCTCTTTACAGCAGTGTTTTCAGAATGGTCAGACAAAACTGACAAAGATCTTCCTCACCTGTCCACCACACTCCCCGGCTGCACCTCCTTCACAAAGATGTCCACTGCTGCCAGAGGCTGACTCCTCACGGCCACCACACTGAACCCCAGGCCTCCCTCGGAGGGCCGTTCTATCTCGATGTACTCGACTTGCCGGCCCTAAGGAAGGGGGATGAAGAAAAGGCAATGGAGGACATTTAACTGACATACCGTTTCCAAAGAACTGAAATTGCTATTTTGTGAATAGAACAAAAACAGCTTCTCCTAAGTCTTCTCCATAAAACCAAATACACTCAGCATTTCAGTAATAAACCATTTCTGGAAACACTCTCACTTGATTATTTTCAGCAGAACATAAGAGGAATGTGCTGTGTTCTGCAGCCTCGGGGAATCGGAGAGGTATTTTCACACTTCATTCGCATTACAAGATGAATCCGAAGCTGTACGAAAATTCCTGAGGAAAATGTCCTTTCCCACAGTACATTCTAAATCACTTTTTACACTGAACTTCTCTAAATTCTCTTGATGAAAAATGTATTTTTAAATGGAAATCAAATTAGATATATCAAAAATATGCTTTTTGTTTAGCGGTCAGCCTAAGTCAGAACCAGCTGCATTTTTTAGGGTTCCGTTTTTAGTTCTATTGCGATGCATTAATATTCCACTGCAAAAGACTATGGAAAGACCACCAGCCATTCCAATGGGTTCTACCTGTGACAGACAAGCATTTTACTGCTTTAGCTAATAGATGCATTTATAACATGAGAAATTCATAAATGTAATCAACCAACAAAAGCATGGCATAAAAATAATTATCAGTCAAATTAAGGGGATAGAGCTATAAAGTCAAAAAAGGAATTTGGTATAGAACATTATTTAACTATCACACCTTAAACAGAGTCTTTTTAACTTTCAAACTCAAGATTCATTTTTTTTTTTTGTGAGGAGATCAGCCCTGTGCTAACATCTGCCAATCCTCCTCTTTTTTCGCTGAGGAAGACTGGCCCTGGGCCAACATCCGTGCCCATCTTCCTCCACTTTATATGGGACACCGCCACAGCATGGCCTGCCAAGCAGTGCATCGGTGAGGCGCCCATCCCGAACCAGCGAACCCTGGGCCGCCGCAGTGGAGCGCGCGCACTTAACCGCTTGCACCGCCAGGCCGGCCCCAAGATTCATTTTTTAAGACACTTAGAAGAAGAGGTGCACAAACACAGAACGGACATGTCCACAACTCAACATCTGTCCTTTAACTTGGAACACGCATCAGGGATGAAACTGGGTGACTCTTTCAAATGTTTCCCCAGATTTTCCAAATTACATTAGTTCTAACTCCCATTAATTCTGTTCTGACATAAAATTAAAAACAGCTTCAGAGGAGTTTTGTCACTTCTGGTAGACATGTTAAATTTTCCTCCTATGATCAAAACCGTAAGTCTCTTTCTTACAAGAGTAGAGACGTGTCAAATTGGAGTGACAATCTAAAAACTCTCCTCACCACACAAATGGATATTTCCTTACATAACTTTAAGCCAATAAATTTCCAACACGCAGGTCAGAAAATAGTATCAATTCCTCCTAACAATATAAACACACAAGCAAACAAAACACAGAGTAACATATTTTAAGGCAAAAAGAGTAAGTCTAGGTTCCTTTTTTAACCTATAACAGGAGAAATAAAGCTAAATTTTCTGACGACAAGACAGAACTTTACCTGAGCCATCTGCTGAATAATTGAGTTAAAGTCTTCATTTCCTGACTTAGGGGTCCAAGGAAATAACCCAGACACAGTCAAGTTATTAGAGGACCTGTGGGCATTCCCGTTCGTAATGGCACCATCCGTGAACACTAATAAACCTTTCCTAGAAAAATCAAAGTTGGCTGAACAATCTGAGGGTATATGGCTGAGCTGTTGGAGAGAAAAACAAAAGAAAGTCATCAACAGAAACCTAGAGAAAAGAAATTATTTCTACCTAGTAAAATATATTTTGCCCATCATGTGTTAAATTTATACATGTGAAAGAAATAAGATACAGATGCATGAATCTATAAGTTTACAAGGCTGTAGTTTATTTAGTATTACACAAAATGCTTAATAGCTTCAAGTGTGTTCTTGTTTCCTGCCTGCCACTATCACCTCCAGCTAACAGCATGGAGAACAGCTCATCACACTCCCCACACATCCTGTCACTAACACACATCTGAGACACTGAGTCCTTCTGCATTTATCCGTGCACTTCCCTGTGGGAGCCACAAGAGACTCGCGGCTGGTGTATAACAACAACAACAATATTGGTACTTATTGGGGGCTTGCTATGAGCAAGGTACTAAACCCAAACTCACATATTATCTCATTTAATCCTTCCAACAGCCCTATGAGACATCAGTCTCCCACCTGTGAAAATGAAAAGCAAGGCTCACAGGGGCTAAGTAACTTGCCCAAGATTAGTAGCAAATGAGTTGAGGACCCACTTAAACATTAGTAATAAAGGGGAGACTCCTGTAATTACGAGGAACAGGAAAACCCAGGTTAATTTTTAAAATATCATTGGCTGATACAAGTGCCAACACAGTGGAATAAAGGTAACATCAAGAACAAATGTCAAAAGGACCTCACAGAAAAAATCGCTGCCCACAGAAACTCTACGCAAACACTCACAGGAGAAAAATCACAGGGGTTTACAGTTGAGTGGATAAAATATGATTATGCACATAACTGCAAACTATATAAACATAAAAGACTGTCATTATGATGGAGTGGTGGGTCAAGTCCCCTCTTAGTCCAGTAAGAGTGACAGATCTGGGGTAATCTTTCCCAATTTCTATTGCTACCAGTAGCATTCACTGTTGCAACATGGGACTCATTCCACGACCACAGACCAAAGAAAGCTAACCTTCAACATGGGGAGTGCTAAAATTATGACATAAATTCTGATCTAGAGAAAGACATATGTGCAGAGTTTAATCCTTAATTAGTTATAAAAAAAAATCACTCGCTAAATATGGGCAGGCATTTTGGTTTATCAGTAAAAACATTCTTTCCCAAATGTTCTTAATCTTCACTTAACAACTCTACTACATTATCTCCAACTACATTTAAAATTCTGCCCAAATTTATGTATAGGATAGCCACTACACAAGCTCAGCTTCTAGACTAGATGGTTTAAAATCAATTTGCCATCCCTGACCCCAAAACACAGCAACCAAGAGCACAGTTAAAACTACTAATTTACATCACCCTAAGCGAGATGCCATGTGTCCTGTGGTTCAACAGCCACGTATTTAGAGCCTGCAAGAGTCCAGGTACCACGTCACATGTGGTGGAGGAAACAGAGATAACACCAGGTACACTGCTTCCAATGGCTATCTAATCAGAATATTCACGACATTCGATAGTCATTTGATTAATTACTGAGGGGTATAAATCATGTGCTACAAGGGCATGGCCAGTGCTTCTTAGAAAAAAGACTTCGTGAAGAAACTATATGTAAGCTAAACACTATTTTATAATTTTGAAGAAAATGTTGAGAATTCTCAAAGCATCTGACCTTTACATATTTAAATAATTTAAGTACCAAAACCATATTCCAAAGCCAAACACAAAATTTACAGTCAACACTTAAACTGTCCGTGCCAATGCTCCCCACGGGTCACAAGTGCCAATACAGTCTCGCTGCTGAATTGAGAGTATTCAGAGACAGCCTGTCTGTCCCTCTCTCCTCCTCTCTCTTTGCTGGTTTGAACATATCGACAGGCAGCTCCCTGATGGGTAACGTACCTGCCCCTTCAGCTGCTTGATGGACTGCTGAAGCGTGAGTATCTGGTTGAAGACAGGACTCTTCAGTGTCTCATAAAACACAGACAGCTTCTCGTTCTGCGACGTGTCGCCCTTCTCCTGCAACTTCGTTGTCAGGCGATGGAGAACCTGCAGGACCTGCACTTTATCTTGTTGGAAGAAGGATCATCAGAGCACAAGTTAAATCCCATGCCATATTCTGTCTCTGAATTGTTAACTAATTTAGTGACAGAAGTATATATCTAGAATACCTGTAGCAGGATTTTCAGGCATTTTGAATTATTGTCTTCAACTACTTGTAAAGAAACCTAAAGGAAAAATTTAAAATACAAAAGGTGGTTTTCCATTAGTGTATACATGACTATAGAATGATTAAAGAAAAATTAAATGTACAAAAATTAAAGAAAACCTCAAGAACATTCTTCATCAAAAGACTTCACTCAGGAAAGTCAAATTAAAACCACAATGAGGTGCCACCACACACCCACTAAGATGGCTAAAACTAGAAAACAACACAGCAGACAACACTAAGTGTCGACAAAGAGGTGAAGCAATGGAGCTGTCACACGTTGCTAGCAGGAATGTAAAATGGCACAGTTTGGAAAATTGTTTGGCAGTTTCTTATAAAGTAAAAAATACACTTACTATATGACCCAGCACTTCCACTCCTAAATACTTACCCAAGATAAATTAAAATATATGCCTACAAAAGACCTATGCAAGAGACCATACAAGTGTTCACAGCATTTTTATTTATAAAAGCCCAAAACTAAAAAAACCCAAATGTCTAATAACAGATGAACACACCAATTATGGTACGTAAACATAATACTCAGAAATAAAAAGGCAAAAATTACTGATACACACACAGATTAATCTCAAAAATAGTATACTGAGGGAAAGAAACCAGATAAAAAAGGATACAAACCTTATGATTCCATTCATATGAGGTTCAACCTCTAGTCACAGGTGAGTTTACCTGGGCAGGGTGGGAAGGAGTTGACTGGGAAGGGATTTGAGGGAGCTTTTCGGGGTGATGGAAATGTTCTACGTTTTGAATGGGGTACTGTTCACACAGATACGTTTGACAAAACTCATTGAACTATATATTTTAAATTGGATATTTTATTGTATGTAAATTATTCTTTAATAAAGTTGATTTTTTAAAAAAGATCCTGGGCTAGAAAAGAACATCCAAATTAAGGGATCAAGAAGATTTTAGAGAGATCAGAAAAAAAATCCTCAAGATGCAAAAAGGATCCTAGACTCTTCCCAGTCATCTGAGAGTCTCCAAAAGGTAACCACCCCATACGGCATTTTCTAGGGATAATGTTTTTAATTCCAGTGATTTGCTTAAACCAGCCCAAAATGTAATGTAATCAAAACTCAAAAAGCTAGCAAACGCTTTATTATGACCTAAATGTCACTTTCACAGTGCTCATTTTTACTAGTGGTACACTGTTGTAATGAACCAAAGAAATATGAGTATCACAGTCAAAATTTTCCTACATCAACCCTGGATACAGTTGCTGAATGAGATCTTCATCTTCTGTGTCAAGGTCATTAAGGAAGAAGCGTATTAAAAACCAGTAAGGGATGCCATTGGCATTGATAAAAGGTCCATGTATTCCATCCAACATTCACCAGATTCAACGAGAACTACCAAAAGCCCTACTGGACAGAGCATCGCAGAAACACTGTGACGTGCTCCGCGTGACAACTTTGCAGGCCTTGCGACCACCCACCGACAGAACTGGATCACAGGAGGGCAGTCCCAACAGCGCTGTCCTCTTCTACAGAAGGATCGTCAAGCGCAGCTCTGTGGTCATTAATACGTCAACCTCTCTAAATCAAAGAATGCAAGCTGAAACTATGAGATGCTATTTTTTACTCTCAGATTGGCATTTTTTTTAAATTAATAACAGCCTGTACTCTCGGATGTCATGGAAAAACAGGTGGGAACGTAAATTGGCACAATCTTTTAGGAGAGCAATTTAGCAATATCTATCAATCTACAGTCTCTTTTGCTTAGAATGTCTACTTCTGTCTCCCCTAACGATGTACTTGTGAAGGGCACACAGATGTGTGTACATGTATACTTACTGCTTGTTTTTTTGTGTGTGTGTGAGGAAGATCAGCCCTGAGCTAACATCCACGCTAATCCTCCTCTTTTTGCTGAGGAAGACCAGCTCTGAGCTAACATCTATTGCCAATCCTCCTCCTTTTTTTTTTTCGGCCCCAAAACCCCAGTAGATAGTTGTATGTCATAGCTGCACATCCTTCTAGTTGCTGTATGTGGGACGCGGCCTCAGCATGGCCGGAGAAGCGGTGCGTCGGTGCGCGCCCAGGATCCGACCCCGGGCCGCCAGTAGCGGAGTGCACTCACTTAACCGCTAAGCCACGGGGCCAGCCCACTGCTTGTTTTTAATAACAAAACTCCTGGGAAAATTAAACTATCACGAGCAATCAGTCATTAAAGCAATGAAGGAGATCTGAACGTACTGAAGCGGCAGCAGGAGGAAATGGTTAACACCAGCCCGGGGCTCATTGAGCAGCTGGAGACTCCAGCTTGATACCCAACCCCTCGCAAAGGACGCCAAAGGTTTTTAATAGATAACAGAGTCCCTCATTTTAAAATGGCAGGAAATACCTGATCCGTCTTAATTGCTTTTTGTAAATAATCTGAGAATGTATGGATTTAGGGGGCATGGCTGGCTGGAAGATGGGAGATAATCACACAGACATTCTCTGTTTGTGTAACTAATGGACGATAAAACTCGGGATTCCCCAAACAGAAAAGGCTTCCTTTGAGCAAAACATTTCTGTATATATTATTCAGAACTTGTCTGGTAACCGCAAAACAAGAAAATGTGTCCTAAGGTTTAATTTTACTCCTGCAAACAAATTAAAAATTCCAGTAAAAGTCTGTCAGAAATACATTTATAAATGACAATGTCAATCTACATGTAACGAGGTATTTTAAGCATGTTGATAATGTCCTGATATGGAAGAAAGTGACATTCTGTGGAAGCTGTGCCCACTGGCTGGCTCCTCCAGCAAGGAATGTCTGCGCCTGGCTCCTGTGCCCGCCGCCCACCTTCAACCCCAGAGTCGTGAGTAAGGTCTGGTGCTGGCTAAGATGGTTCATTCACAGGAGCTGCTTTGACAACTAACCCGGGCCCGTTGCCTAACGCACACAACTGAAGAGCGAAACCAGAAAGTTTCAGGACGTGTGCATTGTTTTCTCCTTTTTGTAAGAAAAAAAATACATATTTGTGTTTGTGTAGGTTTCTAGATGTAGAAAGATAATCAATTTAGTGATTACTTCTAGAAAGTAGAAGTGGCGATGGGGAGATAAATTAGACTTTTACTTGACAGATTTTAGTTTGAATGTTATTTAAAAAGCATGTATTAATTTTATAACTTAAAAAACAAAAGGGACAAAGAGATAATGGCTAAGACGGCCTCATGAGAGCACAATGGAGGCGACACCCAGGGTGATTCTACTGTAAGGAGCATGCACACACTAGCCGAGCGTGTCCCCCAAGCTGGGAGGCAGTGAAGAGAGCGTGGCTCACCCTGCCTGTGCCAGGGGAGCATCAGCACTCTCCTAAGAGAAAAAGAGGGTGTAAAGAAGAGGGACTGTGTGTCCTCACTGGCCTAGATGGTCAGACTACGCAGCATCACGGCTGATGGACAGAGCTCCATTTCACCCTCAACAGAGGCCCCGTCTGAATGGCAGACAGGGCTGCCCTTGGTCAGCGGTTCTCAAATTTGAGCATGCGCCAGAATCGCCATGAAGGGCTTGTTCACGCACAAATGGCTGGGCCACCCCCAGAATTTCTGACTCTGTAGGCCTCAGGTGAGCCAGAGAACCTGCACGCTCACCACGTTCCCATGGGATTCTGATGCAGCCAGCCTGGAGGCCAAATTTGAGAACTCCTGTGGACAGGTGTAAAAAGGCGAGGCTTTCTGTGAGAATAGCAACTAGTTCTAAGTGACCTAGTGTGAAGTCTCTAAAACCAGCAGAAAGGGCAAAAAAGTAGTTTAGACCGGGGTTACTGCAAGTGTGGACTGTGCACTGACGCCTGGCCCCCAAGGAGACAAGGTCCAAAACTGGGAATAAGCATTTAGACACCATGCCATGTGGCACAGTAACTTAGATCCATGAAATTTAGTAATAAAAAAAACTTGACTTACCTTGTATTTTTTTAATTTCATTTTCCTAACAATTCATTTTTCTAATAATTTATTTTAGAAAAACAGCAGTCCTTAAAAGACTGGTGGGGAGCCCTGATCTTTCACCACTGATGGTTTGAGAAGCACTGGTTTAGAGAGATTACTTTGAGTGGTTCCTTGTAAACAATGCTGAGTAGACTGGTCTTGATCCTGGAAGCAACAGGAAGTAAGTAGGGGCTTTTAGGAGAGAAGTATTGAATCCAGACTTCTATTCAAAAAGGTAATTCTGGTAAAAGGATAGATTAGTGGTCTTCAAACTTTTTTTAACACACATTCCCATCAGTAAAAATGTGCTGACCACTCGCCTTGGTTTATTTTTTATAATTATAAACATACTACTATATTTAGACGTCATACATGTTTTAAAACACATATAAAATAGAAGCATCATTAGGTAAAAACTAAAAGGCAAGGTTCAACTGTCAACTTCCTACCCTCCCAAAGGATCAGCCTGCACATCCTGGAAACCGTGGAGGAAGACTATCCCTCAGCAAGGGTTAAGGGAAGAAACCGGCTGGCCATCCAACCCTCTGACTCATGTTTAATAAAGGCTAGGCCATGTCCAAAAGCAGGCCTGGAAAATTACTACAATTCCGTGGTGTTCGGTGATATCTGGGGAAGGGAACGAGAGCCCTGAGAGTATGTGAGGCCAGAAGGAAGAAACGCAGCGCGTCCACAGCGGAACACCCCGCCGGCACAGGCAGGCTACACAGAACTCATTTTGCGGTCGTGGGAAGTCTTCAAACAACTCTGACCTACCTGGCCAAGAAATGAACAGGGCTTACAGCAAGGAATTTCAAGTCTGTGTAAACTTGGTAAAGCCGAGTCACCAGGCTACCTACAATCAGTCACAGCCTGGACATTAAACAGCCACCACTGTCCCCGTAGCCGCACAGTCTCCAGAG